CATGCCCCCCCCCCCCCCCCCCCCCCCCCCCCCCGCCCCCCCCCGCCCCCCCCCCCCCCCCCCCCCCCCCCCAAAAAAAAAAAAAATCCCACATGCATACTACCCTTTAGGGCTAAGCCCCGGGTGTTTCAAATAGTCTGGCTCCGCCTCTGTCATACCGATGGAAGAATTGAACAGAATCTATTTCTTTTACAAAGTGAATATTTTCTATTTTCTCACCTGTTTCTCTTTTTGCTCTTTCTCCTTTAGCTGTGTCGCTCCTTTCCCCGCTCTCTCTGCCGTCTCTAAAGATAAACGTTACAGTGAAACTGAATTTACAACCCAACAAAACACTGACTGTTTCTCTTTAATCACTTTATCACAATATTCTAATGGTATAAGGGCTGCTGCTGGACACTGTAACATCCTTTTAACTTGTACTTTTAACAAGCAATGAAGTCAAACTCAACCACGGCAATGACCCTGTGTTATCAGACTTTTCATTTGCTAATGTTTTCCATGGAATTATCTCTTCGTCTTCTTTCTACCACAAGGACACCCTTATTTGTTAATGATAAGCCACGCTGTTGAAGCACACAGCAACTTCGTGTTGTGTGAATGCACCCTGACATCAGGAAACTTGTTTTTGTCATAACCTCTTCTGGTTCCAGTCAACTCCTTACAAAATCCAACATTAAAAAATAGTTATTATTATAACTATTCTAACTATTACTATGGTTACTTTTGGGCCACTATCATGCTTGAAAAAAAGAGTGTAAACTCCTCAATGGGCTCTTACATTGTGCTACGTATGATATTTTAATAATACCCTGGTGATATGTAGTGTCAGGGGGTTGCTTCATCTTTTATAAAGAAATTCAGATCCTTTAATACCTGATTTCTTTTCATGAGCTCCATAGAAAACCTCCAGCTTTTGCCAGGCTGTAATGAAGATGTTTTATTAAACGGCGAGAGGCTTCAGTGTAACCTCCTCTGCTGATAATGAAATATCTGAATCCTTTTTTAAATGACGGTACACGCAGTGTGGGGATGATTCCTGCTCTGGATGCAGAAATGACTGCCGTCCACAGACACACATCCACTTGTCTTGAAGGAAGGCACTTTCTTGGTGTCCCTATAATACACGGCCCCCCGTCGCCCTTCCCACCACCTCCTCTCTCACTCCCCTGTTTCCCTGTCAGGCAGGGAGACGTGCCGCAAGGAGCCGCGCCGAGTGTCTGTCGCCTCATATTGAATTTCAGCGCGACAGCAGTCGGCTTTCTCTCCAGAAGATCGGGTTTAAAGATCGTTCGCTGCCTCTCGCTCTCCTCTCTCTCTCGACGCTCTCTCCTCCTTCCCATCGCTACTTGCCCCCTCTCTCCTCCCGTCCATAGACCCGCACTTGGGCTGGAAGTTTCCCCAGAGCAGAGCCGCTCCACCATCCTCGGTGCGCCCGGAGAGTCGGAGAAATGAAGCTTCACTAAGAGAAGAAAGAAGAGAGGAAGGGGCCAACAAGGCGAAAGGAATAAATCATTGAGAAGAGTCACCACCGAAGACGTCCAAGGTAAAAATGTGGCTTTTAAACATTTATTTATTTATCACTTTTTACAGTAAACAGAACCCTGCAGTAGCTTCTGACTGAGCTGTACACAGCACATGGACTTTTTTAAAAGTCTTGCAACAGAGTTTGTGGAGCATCTCCTCATATGCTGAATGTTACTGTTATGTGTGTTAAGTCAGCGGGACTTAGAGCTGTGCATGATGTTGGTTAATCTAACCTACTTAAAGACGTTTCAGCGCCACCTTTCTTTAACAACAACTTTATCAGTGGCTAACAGGTCAGGCACATTTGTTATATTATTATATAATATAGCTAATAGCTCTTGGCTATTAGAATAAAAAAAACCAGCAGCTGATAATTGGCTGTTTTATTATAATAATAGCAACATACATACATATACATACTACAAATGAAAATGTAAAAATTACACTGAAACAGTTACTCTTTATTAAACTCCCATATGAAATGTTATACATGATGAAAACTGAAGCTACGTTTTTCACAGCAGACATTCTGACTTGTCAAACACACTTACAGCAAATAGCATCACTAACTGCTACACCAGGCTGCAGTAATTGCTGGAACATCTTAATTGCCTTTCTGACCACCTCTTGCTTTTCCTGCTATCACAGGTCACAATGAAGAGGCAGGCTAGAGAAATAAGAGAACTATTACAGTGCAATTTAACTTGTGTTGTACCTGCTGCAGGTGTTTGTTGTTGTTTTTTGCACAGTTAATGTAGTGATTGGATTGCAGAATATTTCACACGAGGGTGTGGAGAATTTCTTTGGGAATGGCTGTGATAAACCTGCAGCATCACAGGTCATAGATATTTCACTTTGTCATAAGCCAGAAGCTACAACTTGTAATTTGTAAACACAAGTCTTAATACAAAAAACGAGGTAGCAAATGTGTATTAGTTTATCAATTAGAAAAATCAATGAATCCGAAACAATAAGATCAAAATGGACTGGTTCACTCGTCTCACATATTCTGATATTTTCTTCCTGTCCCAGGTATTTGTGATAGTAAACTGAATATCCTTACATGTATGATGAACGAGGCAAAAATAATTTTAGAGTAAACAAGACAACTATATTGGGTATTATTTAATTTTGACCATGATGGGCAGGCAAATGTCCTACCACTTGGGCGGTGGGGGTAAGGGGTGGGGCAAAGCACTGATAAATGTTTTCATAACCACTAAGTTTATATTTCCTGGAATATGTCTTATTGTGTAGTGCCACTGCTAAGACAGTTTCTCCAATAGTAGTTTTTCCCCTTGTTCCCAGGAGCATGTGTGTGATAGTGCTAATTTTTATAAGAATGGCTGTCTAATAGTTTTTTCAGCCATGTAAATTCTTTCTGCGCCAAAGTAGCTGCAACACTAAAGGGAATGTAGGTCATGTGCAGTAGCTCCAGCTTCTATTAGTATAGGCATTGTACCTTTAAAGTGACTATATTAGCAGTTATGTAGCACCTGGAGACCATGAGATGTTGATGACGCTTCAGGTGACGACATAATGACATCCGAACTATCCGTACGTCATTACCATGGCTACCAGTACACATGAGGACACGGTTTAGTGACAGGATAGTAAATACATTAGATTTCATTTTAGATTGCTGCTGTACCCGGAGCTGATGCTTTTTATATCAAAAACAGTCCAACCAAAAAGTTGTGGGCAACCCTTAAGCAGCCCACTAGTTCCTGCAGTGGAAAATAGTCTTTTGACTCACAGCTGAGTGTGTTCATTTCCCTGTAACTGACAAAGAGCCAAATTGAGCTTGAAATGTTGTTGGGTTCATTTTCTTTTTGAAGGAGGCATTTTAAATGGGAAAGGGGTTTCTGATGTGCCATTTGCACTTTTTTGTTAGATTGATTGTGTGATTGATTTATTTTCAACAAAACCCTTTAAAAATCCATTAGAAAAATGTTTAAAATTGTCCAATAGTTGGGCAGTTTTTAAGATTTTTTAAGTTTTCTCCATTATGACTAGATTTACTTATCGCTCCATTTTATATCATGTGTGACCTGCCAATACATTGTTTTTCTTTCTAAGAATTATAACCTGCAAAAATAAAGTTTCCTTAATCAGATCTCATGAAATTACAGAAAATATGTTGGAAAAAGGTCATTAATTTGCACTAAATATGCATTTAAATTAGCCAGGATTTAATTCCGTTTGTTTGGTGATTGGTTTTGTTTGCAACAAAAAAGCCAAAAAATCTGTTAAAAGTATCAAATCACAATTCTTTGAATGTGGGTAGACTTCCTGTCCTGACATAAATGCATTAGGAGAAACAGTGATGTTACCGGAGAGATCACCTATTTCATTCTTGAATTCCTTTTATCCATTTTTTTAAGTTCTTAGAAACCTCCTCCAGAAAACTTTTTATATACACTTATATTCGGTGGCATTATCTACACTTTGCTAGCAGCTGTGTCAAATTTTCAAGTATATTTTTGCATATTATTTATCTTTTTTTTGCATATTATTTATTTCCTCTTTACTAAAAAACTTGATGCGACTGACTGTGAGGTAGCAGAAGAAAGCTTTTTTCCCTCTGGGTGGGCATTCCATAAAAAAGCAGCTTTTGGCTGCTCTTTTATTCACGAGGAGTTACCACAGTGCAGAGTGGCACGTTTGACTTGGCAGACTTTTTACACCAGATGCCCATCCTGACACAGCTCTCCCAGGGATTTGTGTACCCTCCTGTTCTTAAACCAGGGATTTTTTTTCTTTACATGTTAGGCACACTGAGTGGGAATTTCATCCTCCAAGTTAATCCAGCTTTAGTTTGACAATTTTTAACAATAAATGGTACTACACAATATCTGCAGAAACAGTTTAAGGACTGGGGAACATTTCAAAGTTTCATTCTTTTAAAATTCTTAAAAAATCTCAGCCAGATAGGCATTTTTTTTTTCAGAAATAAGGATTCACGTTACTTGTGTGCTGTTAAAGGAAGCTGTGCCAGGATTTCATGAAACCATATCATTTAAGTCCCCCTGTATCTCTCATAAGTGACTTCCAATCTGAGCAACCAAGGTTTGGCATTTACTGTTGGCTAATTTACCTAAATGTTAGGTGTAAGCATATAGGTGGGTGGACCGCCTCATTTACCTAGAGATGTTTAATTAATGTGTGACGGTTGTACTGCTTGCACCTGCTGCCTTCTTTCTGTGCTACAGTATGTATTTCAGGCATCATGCCACAGGTTTTTGAAAAGGAATATTAATTTCTGTAGCTTTCAATTTCCTCCCACAGCCTGTTTTTGTTTCCTGGACACAAGAGAAACCGATCCATGCTCAGATCCACTACTTAGATCACTGATCTGAAAAGGCTTGTTGGTTCTCTTAGATGTTGTCAGTGGTATGAAAGGTCATTCTTCAGCTCTATTCTTGTCTTCTATTTTATGTCATACAATTAGAAATTACAAATTTAAAGGTCTGTTTCAAGAGTAACTGTATATTAAAAGTTGCATATACTGTATTTTCCGCACTATAAGGCGCACTTAAAATCCTTTAATTTTCTCAAAAATCGTCAGTGCGCCTTATGTATGAATTTTGGTTGTGCTCAGTGTTGCCAACTCCTCAGTAAGGAAAATCGCTATTGGTTGTCCTAAAAGTCGCTAGAAGTCACTAAATGACGTAATCGCCTAATGTGCATAATTGGTCATGCTAATGTAATTGTAACCTACGTTGTTGGAGAGAGAAATAACATTGTGGAAGAGACATAAAGTGAGTAAAAAGTGTCCTAAGTGCATTTAGAATTGATTTAGAACTACAAATTAAATTTCTTTTAGTAATTATTGTTTTTTAATGTCACAATTCCAACCCTGCTCCTTTATCTGGGCTTGGACTGGCAAAAGTGACCCGAAATTGTCACTCTGGTGGAGTTACTGTGTGTGTGTGTGTGTGTTTATTAGTAGTTTTAAACCTTGTGATCCACAAAACAGCATAACAGTAAAAGAAGAACTGACTGCGTTACAGTCAGTGCGGGAGCAGCAGCTTTGCTCATGCGCCATTCATTTGCAGTTTGGACGCATAGGGGTGAACATCTCCTGCCCTGATAGCAGCTGGGGGAGGACTATCCTCCGCCCGTGAGCACTTTGGCACGGGTGAGGTGCCCACCGCAGCACCGCTGCTTGTTGAGAGTAAGAGCGATAGGCATTTTCACGTCAAAAAGTCGTCGTAAATAAGTCTCCAATAACACCAGAAAAAGTCGCCAGATTTGTCGCTAGTCGCTTTTTAGAAAAAAGGTCGCTAAGGGGGTCTGAAAACTCGCTAAATATAGCGACAAAGTCGCTAAATTGGCAACACTGGTTGTGCTTACTGACCTCGAACCAATTTTATGTGGTACACGGCGCTCACAAATCTGTCAAAAATGTTTTAGTCCGACTTTGGTAAGCTACGAAGCTGCACTGCTTGATGAATTGTCAGAGCATTACGGCTACCGTAGTCAGGAGCCTTGCTGAGTAATCTGGGTCCAAAACTCCATCTCCTTCAGGTCCCAAAGTCAAATGATCACTGCGGCATCACTGAGAGCTAAAAACAAAAAAAAAATGATCGATGTTGCTGCTTTACCAGGTGTAACTATTAAGTTTAACATCCAGGCATCCATGAAAACAGAATTTATTACATTTAACAGAGTTAGAAGGTAGCAGGAAGTTAGCTTGCTAGCTTCCACCTAAACATGATATAGCATGTTCTGACAGAGATTTCTGAAAAAAACGTGCAGCTCTGCTATCACTTCCAACATAAATGACTCCAGATCATTACAGACTACAGGACCACCAAACCCTCCCCCGCATCCTCTGATGTCTCCTTCCTCAACGAGCTCAACAACTTTTATGCTCGTTTTGAGCGAGGGAACCCCACAACCACAACCAAAGCAGACGTGACGCCAGACCACCAACCTCTGACTCTCTCCCCCACCGATGTAGGAGCGGTGCTGAGCAGGATCAATGTCCACAAGGCTGCAGGTCCTGATGGCATC